TTAACAGCCAAGCATAATTTCAAGCTGAATCAAAACGTGCCATTAGGCGAATGCAAACAATTAAGCGCTTCCTACACTAAAATGTAGTTCCCCAGTAAACGTACCTGCATCTTTGTGGACTTGACAAAGATGTACTAAAAAGAGCAGCAATCAGGATTTTTCATGTGCCTTGTTTGGATACATTGCTTCCTTTTGATGAACCAATCAACCCCTTTTGTTGAATATTTCCATGCTATCCCTATAATAGGAGGTGCAACACCATCTCTCTATCATACACACAGAGAAAGAAGAAGGGGGTAAATAGTTGGAGTACACCCCTGCTTTATGCCTTAAAATTTGTTTTGGTACTTGGAAGGCATAACCATACAAACACCTCTTCAATGTCTTTGCAGGCTTTTAGATCCTGTGTTGGAAAGTTCAGTATCACTATTTGTCGGGAGTTATATTTTACAACTTATTATACATCTGCCTTCACACCTATCTCCCCACTTTCCTGAGCTTATTGCTGCTATTGTGAGACGTATGCAATCCAGCAGCATTACTGGATTGAAGAGCTCTCTTGTTGTTATAGTAGCAAGACTTGTGAGTTGCATCTCTCTCTCTCTCTCCCCTGGTTAAGTTGTTTGGATTTCTTACTACCCATGGTGGATTATAATTCGATATATTCACTTTTCACTTTAGACTAAGTTTGAATTAGTGTTTTGGTTATCTTAGTATCTTACATGGTTATTATTTTAGTTATTATTTGTTTTAGTCCTGGGTCTCTTTTCTACCCAACCGCAGTAGGATTATGTTCCTATCATCATTACCTAATAACTGTCACCCTATGTTTTCTAGTAAAGTGCATTACCAGTCCCTTAACTTGTCCCATGTGTCATCTTGGCCCCTAAACTCTGATAATTCAGTTCCAGACCACCTGAACTTGTTATATGTTTCACAAAATGTCTAAACCTCCCAGTCAATATCCCCTCTCACCCATGTGGCACGTTTGACTGTGCTTCTGTGGTCATCTAACTAACATCTCCAGGCCCGATCCCGTGTTGCACCTCCTTGTAATTGACCTGGTACAAATCTGAATGTGTAATGGGTATGAGTGAACTGCTAAGTCTAATACTGTGGCTCTAGGACCTGCAGTCGTCGCCTCCTTGGTGCTGTGCCAGTGGTGGGTCCTTGAGCTTAGGACAGTCGTGCTATGCTGAACTCCTAGAGCTCAATGTGCTTGGGCAAAACTGATGTGTGCAAAACATCCTAGAGAGGTCAACGATGGTCAGTTTTTAGTTGCACAGAGATGGTGGAGATGGTGCATGGAGGAAGCGGTGGCAGTGGGGTTTGGGAGATAGGAGAGCGGGTGGTCAGAGATGTTATAGTGAAAGACTCGGGCAAACATGTATTGGGTATGCCACATCAGCATCTGAAGCTATTTTTATTTGGATTCTGGTGAATTACTTACCAAATTTGGGGTCATTAGAATATGCATCTTCGGAGTTCATGGACATAATGACGCCGTGGGACAAGTTTTTAAGGATTGCTAGTGAAATTTACTCTTGTATTTTGAGCGAAGGGGAGGGAGGTGGTGCTTCAGGAAATTCTAACATTTATCACCTGCTACAGGTACATCTGAGTGCACCAAATGTTGATCAGTTTATCAACCTCTTACTTGCAATTCCTGCTCAGGGTTATAACAATTCACTTGCTTATATCATGTCTGAATGGTCACAGTTACAAAGTAAGAGCTCATAAAACAGAATATCATTGAATCAAACAAATGTGACCTTTTTATTTTGTTCGTATAGTAAGAGCTTTTCAACATCCTGTGTAGGTGAAATTCAAGGAGCCTATCAGATAAAGGTTACAACCACTGCATTAGCTCTTCTCATATCTACTCGTCATCCTGAGTTATCTAGGATTGAAGTCCAAGGGCATATTATTAAGGTAATACCATAAAAGTTTTGTTTGCAACAGTTCCTACCTGCTTATTAGCAGTCCATGGGTGTCTTACACACAAAAATTCAGACTAGCGCAGGTATAACTACACGGTCAAAAGCTAGGGTGGCTCCTGATCACTGGACCAAGATTCCACTCCCAGCTAAGGTAAACAATTATTATTTGCCATAATAATTCCTCCAAAGTCCAAAATTCAATTCTTAAAGAGCTTTCAAAGCAATTTTCAATTCCAGAAGGAGATGAATCTGCACAAATATCGTTTTAATATATTTTGTTTGTACATAATGTCTACTGTTGAGTCAGACCTCAATTTTCTTTTCGCATGGTACTGTAGCATTGGCTAGAGTCCATTAGTTAGTTTAGAGACAAGGTAAGATTTAGTTGTTCCTTTATTTTTGGTATAAACTACTCAAGGGTCAAGTCATTGCCATCTATCGAGCAAGAATGAAAATATTTACCTAAGCATACCTGAACATGGATTATGCAGATCTTCTCACTGTTAGCAGATACCTTAGCTGAAATTCAGGAACAAGTTGTTGGTGATGAAGACGATTGTGAAGAGGTTGCTATACTTCTCTTGACACTGAAAATTTTAAACTGGACTGTTTTTTTTTTGTTAACATTGGTTGTCAATACAGGATAGTGACTGGGAAGAGATTCAGAATGGTGATTCTAGTATTCCACATGATATGATATACTCAGCATCAGTTCCTTCAAATGCTAAGCCATCAGTTGAGCATCTAAATGCAATGGCGAAAGTTTTTGATGAGGTAAGTCAGTGGCTTGTCATGCTACTTTGTAATGTTTTGTTGTATTAATTCCTTTATATTTACCCCTAATTACATACAATAGGATGACGACGGAAGTTATGATGATGACCTGGCAAAAGCTGACTCTCTTAATGAGGTTTGCCTTCGCAGCAAAGTCCATCTAATATAAATAAAGATAATACACATACAATCAAGTAAAGGAATTCTTTTTTTCCCCTTACAGGTGAAGCTGTCGGACTTTCTAACAAACATCTTTGTCAAATTGTGGGAGAGTGATCGGCTGCTTTTTGAATATCTTTGCCAGGTAACACTCCTTTGCTGTTTTCTTTCATTATCTTTGAAAACTAATGTTAAATGGCTGTTTTATTTCCATTATCAATGAAAACATAACATTTCATGGGTGTATTAATTTTCTTCTTTTGCTTTGCTGAATGCTAATTGCTATAAATCCCATATATGAATACTACATCAATGTTGTACTGTATTATCCTTTGCAGGCCCTAACAGATTCACAGAGGACTGCTGTGGACAAAGTTTTGAGGAAATAAAGCGCATACATGATTGAGATATCTACATTTGGTCCTATTCCACATTAGCCATTGGGTGAGCTTTGATGCTTAGTGTAGGTTTATTGATTAAGAGTTCTGTGTACAATGTGAGGCGAGTCCTCGAAGGCAGGAGTTGGTGGTGTGTGGTTTTGTTAGTGTAGGTTTATTTATCCAAATTTGTCTAGATCCGAAAGTGAACCAACTTAGAAAATACAAGCAAAAATTTGCCATTTGTGTGTTCATGTGACGTGTTGGATGGTGTATTGTTTGTATCCATATGTTTGGTTCGTGAAAGAAGGCAAGGAAATTTTTTCATAGCGGTCCACCCGTTCAGTGCTTTCAGGTCAATCGGAGTTCTGTTTCATGAAATTTATAAACCTTGTGTTTTGGTTTTGATGAGCTGCTCCCAAGATCCAGTCGACATGAGTGCAAGTCATTTGTTTTGCATGAGAGCTTAATCGATAGAGTAAATTGTTTCACTTCGTACCGGGTTTAGTATATACTCCCTCCGTATTTTAATGTATGACGCCGTTGACTTTTTAACAAACGTTTGACCTTTTGTCTTATTTAAAAAAATTTATGTAATTATCATTTATTTTATTGTGACTTGATTTATCATCAAATGTTCTTTAAGTATGACATAAGTATTTTTGTATTTGCATAAAAAAATTAAATAAGACGAATGGTCAAACGTTGGTTAAAAAATCAACGGCGTCATACATTAAAGAGTAGTATATCAAAACAATTTTCAATTGACACTAGATTGTGTCATATAACTGAAGGGATTTTTTTTTTTGAGAATAACTGAAGGGAAATCCTTTTAGGCTGCGTTCCTTCCCATTCCTAACTCCCCCTCCTTTTTTCCGTGCGCATGCTTTTCAAACTGTTAAACTGTGTGTTTTTTGCAAAAAGTTTTTATACAAAAGTTGTTTTAAAAAACATATTAATTCATTTTTGAAAAAAAAGTTAAAACTTAATTAATCACACGCTAAACGCTGCTTCATTTTGCTTGCCGGGGAATGCTCCCGAACACAGCCTAATCATGAGTCGAACTTCTGATTTTTTTTTTTTTGAATTTAGATCATGTTTCACAAAGTTTTATCCATATTTTATCAAATTTAATGAAATATTTATAGGTTTGACAATGTAAATCATGGTGTATGTAACTTATTTGAAGGCAACCTGGTGTAAACTGAAAAAAAAATGTGTTAAACCTAGGGCATCTTTGGATTGAAGCCAATTCTTACCTTACCAATTATTTGATAGTTTTGAGTAGCACTTGTTAGCTATTTGGATTGAGGCCAAATCTTACCGATTCAATAGGGTTAGAAACGAACAAAACCCTATCAAAATATTGGTAGTGCCAAAACTTGCCCAAGATTTGGCATTACCAAAATTTTGGTAGGGCTTCAAACCAAAACAACCCCTAATGTAAAGTGTAATTTACTCATTTGATAAATGACCATGCAAGACTAGATCCCGAGCTCATCACGGATGGGTGCTCAGGAAAGTGAAGATAACCCAAACTTAATCGATATTAAGATTGCCAAGAATCTTAAGAAATAAGCACATCACAACTCACAAGGAACACATCATGCTATATCCTATGCTCGTAACATTAGTTAGGAAATTAGGAACCAATCAATGACATAGGTAGCAACCAGCTACAGAAAGTCCATGGTTTCATCTGGAAAACACGCCATCCATCTGGTGATCAGCAAACGAAGAAGCAAGCGCATGAATCTAAACAAACCTATTATGATCATTGCTCTGCGCAGTACAGTACAATATCCACAGAGAAGTTCACAGTAAAACATGCAACAACATCTATAAGAGAGATTCTCAACTGCTACCACAAATCTCAGATGCATAAAAGTGCCCTGCTAAGATCTTACAGCATGTAATTTGTCAGTGATGAATGGCTGGAGATGTCGATACGGAAATCAAATCTGGAATGGCATGCTACCATTTCAACTGCTTCTGTTTCTTTCATTCGGCAGAGCTACCCGCAGGCTTCGATTCTTCGTCCTTTGGCTTAGTTGGGGTAATACCTTCAGTGCCCATCTCAACCTTGAGGTCATTGATGCTCTGCTCCAACTCATCAATTCTTGCGCCCATTTCATCTAGTGAGCACTAGTTAAGGACTATGTACAAAAGCAGGTAGATATGTTGATAGTACGATCTTGTTTATGTCAGGAATTCAACGAAAAAGGCAAAAGCCTCAGGAACTCCCAAACCCAGCAATTTCTTTTCCCAGTTATATGTATTTAAACTGTTTCAGATACTCGATCAGAACTGTTCCAGTGTACTGATTGAAGGCACAAATATCATACTTTTTAAGGATTTCAAGTTACTACCAAAATCAGGAACTTTTTGGACTTGTCCCTCTTTTGTGTAGTGACTAATGGACAGATGTCACACATCAATAATCTTAAATGCCCAAGAGTATTCTTACACACTCAGAACTAAAGGTTCACCATGTTAATATTCTTCCTTTTAAATGAATATATTCTTCCTCTTAAATGAATGTATTTAAAGAAGTAAAGTGCACAAGAGAACTGGTTTAGAAGGATATTCTTTGAAATGATGTTCTCTGACATAGATTGGAACCTGGTTTGCTGCAAGAAAGTTACAATTCAGTAAAAGTGAAGTGATTGCATGAAATTCGCATCGCCCCGCCATGTGAACAAAGTTACTCACCATCTGCATCAGAAGATTTTGCACCTGCAAAATAAATAGTGGGCAAAACAAAAATAAATAAGTTGTCAAGAAATGCACTAGTAAGTACAGCAGCAGCAACAACAAACAACTCAATTTATATAGCTCAAAGAAAATGTGAACTCAGAGCAAGATCTTAATGCTCACGAAAGCGGTCATATCAGCAGTGCTCTGCGCCGAGCCATCCGAGTCCTGATCAGCCTGCATTAGAAGAGGGAATGGGATGAAATGAGCAAACTCGGCAAGCCTAACCACAATCGTCAGCCCAAGTATGCCACCATACGCATCACAATTCACAATTATACCATCCCACGAAACAACACAAACAAACAGCTGATCCATCCATCCCCTAGTCCTTCACGGATTACAGCTACGCACTATGTATACAGATGCAATCTGCTTTGCGCGTGCACCAAATCTTCGGTAGCCAAGAATCGCCAGCACGAGGAAACCTAAAACTGCCCACGCCGCATTCGCCAAATGCAGAAACTGCCCACAGCCCGAGCAGCTGCCACACGATGCGGAGGAGGAATTAATCCCGCAACCCGCAGAGGCAGGCGGGCAGGTCGTAATTCAAGCAAGAACCAGCCGGCGGGTGTGATGCGCAGCCCCATTTCCAAGAAATTTTGGCGAAAATCGTCTTCCTCGAGCGCTCGGCGACGGCAACGGGCGGGGAGGAGGGTGGCAGCGGGGAGGGAGAGGTGTACCTTGATGGGGATGCCGCCGGAGCCGGAGCCGGGAGCCGCCATAGGCTTGCCGCCGGCGAGGGGGGGAGAGCGCAGGCGCAGATCCGCTCGTGGCGAGATGGAAGTGGGAACTGCGCGATATGGGTTGGGGGTTTTCGAAAGTGGGCCTGCGGCACATGGGCCAAGAAGGCGCGTTGCAACGGATATTATAAGAGATAAAAGCAAAAGCAAAATCTTATAAGTTTATCGCATAGTTAGTTGATTAGGCATATAATGCTATGCTCAAAGCAAAAGCATTCAACTTGTGGTATTGGAGGTAGTCTCGGACACCACCACTAGCATCATTTAAAGTAGTATAGATAACTGTGAATTTATTCTTAAAAATACAATATAATCATAGTGTAATTGTATTGTAATTTATATGTAACCTGAATGTAGCTTTCACATAATTTTGAACCATATATTTGTTTTAAGATTCGTAACATTGTTACAGCACGTATATATGTAAGAGGATTCGGTTTCACGACACTACAAAAGTTGTACCCATGCCTTGCTATACATCTAATACGTGTTTTGAATCTTTTTTTTGTCTACTGTATTTTTATATGGACCAAAATACCCCTAGCATATCTTTTAACCCTAGCCCCAAATCTAACAACCCTATCCCAAATCGATCCCCTAATCGCCCCATGCTAGCGCCTAGCAGCAATGGCGATGGCTGCTAAGCAAGCTCCAATTGCGGCAGTGGTGACGGTAAGATTTCGGCATAGAGGACGGCGTGTCCGGCAGCTACGATGTGCGGTCCGATGGTAGCGACAAGCTCCACATTGCTCGTGTCGGTGGAAGCTGCCGATGCTAGCAATGGAGGGGATGGGCAGCAGTTGACTGGAACGGGCAGTCATCGTGTATGATGATCCCTCCTCACCAGCTCCATCCGCTACTGTGGATGCGCTCGGCGATGACAGATCGAGTGGCACAGAGGGAGCAGATTTGGAGGGTGGCACCGATGAGCAATGCTGAGTACGGTGGCTGCCGGTGGTCATGAACAACAACCCGACTCTTCCATCGCCCTTTTTTTTTCCCCTACATTTGTTCTTCTTTTTCATGTATATTTTTTTACACGAAGTTCAATCATTTTGTACACAAGTTTTGTATAACAATTTCATACTTTAGATTTGAAATTTTGATTAGATCTAAAGCATCAAATTGTGAAGTTGATAGGAGGAAGGTCATGTTGTTGTTCAATGCTTGATTTGTAAGGGGCATATGTATTTTGGTCCATATGGAAATACGGTAACAACAAAACGATTTAGTTTCAGATGTATAAATTGACATATATATGATTTTGGATGTTACATTGGCATGATTCCAATTTACTCTATTTGAATAAATTTTTTAAAATCAGCAAATTTATAATAATGTCACTTAACCATTTCTTTTGGATACAAGCGAAGCATATTCCTCCGTCTTCTCCCCGCCCGGGTGTCGCTCTCCTCCTCGTCGCCGTCGCCGGTCGTCGCCGGTCGCGGGTGGCGCGCAACCCGGAGTCTCTGCCGGCTGCTTACTCGCCGCGGGCTTCAGCTTCCTCCTCGATCTCCGGCGCGCCTCCAAGCTGCAGATCGGCCGACCCCCCCAGGTGCGCCCTCCCCCAGAAAAAGTCCTCCCCCCCCCCCCCCCCCCCCGCGCGACCCCGCAACTCCCCCTCCTCCGCATCCTACCGGATCCTCTCTCACCGGCCGACGCCACCTCGCCTCGCTCCCAGCCGCCGCCGCCGACGAGCGCCACTGCCAAAGCCCTAGATCGAAGCGAAGCAGAGGGCCTTGCCTCGCCCTCTCCACTCAGGATTTGTACCGCTCGCATTCGCATCGCGCGCTCATGACCTGGAGTTCATGTTGTGGAAGTAGACGCATCGTAGCAAGCACCACCCACGCGTTGGCTTGCCCCCGTATCTGCGGTTGATTGATTCCTGTTGGGTTCGGTTGGTGTTTGCTCAGATTCGAGGTGACAACGTACCAGCAGTGAAGAAAAAACATTGCGAAGAAGTGATCCTCGTTGCACCAAGAGTGTAAATAATCTTTTGATCAGCTCCTAGAACAAACAATAATCACATGTGTTGGTCCCATGGGCAGAACTAGAAAATCAATCCAACCAAGATGAGTTCATGATTGCTCATTCTTTCGTGCGTCAGATAAATCAAGCTGCATACTTGGGTAAAAGAAGATCATGTGCTCAACATCTTATTGTTCTGCTAGCAGTTGTGTTGAATCTTCCTATGATTGGCCGAAACGTATTATGAAGCTCCTGATGCTTCTGCTCTCCCAGTTGTTGGTAAAGAAAGTGATGCTGTTGGTTTGGCTAGCTGTCTAGTTCCTTCCAGTTTCTTTTGTTCCTAGCATGGGCAACAGTAGTCAGCAATCATATCAAAATTAGATGAAATGCTTGTTACTTGTTGAGACATTGAGATATAATGGATTATGGAGATATTACTCCATATGACATAAATACATATTAATTATGGACATCTATTTCCAGTTTTCTCTAATACTTTTTTGTTTTTCTGCAGTGTGTTGAAGCCTGCCCTTGACACTTAGCAACTGCAGAGTCCTGCTGGAGAGAGATGGGGTTCATCGGCGACACGATAGAGTCAATCCGCTCGATGCAGGTCCGCCAGGTGCTGGCGCAAATCATCAGCTTAGGTGCAACCTTGCCTCTTTTGCCTCAGTGATTATTTTGCTCACAGATAAGTGGATTGGGTCCACTACTTCTTGATTTAGGCTTGGGTATTTACCTTGTGATTCCAGGAGAGTTTCTTTGGGAGTGGTCTATTCTTAGTTCTGTTGGGTTTGATTTCGCTGGTAACGCTGGGGTAGGGAAGTCTTTTGGGATTCTTGATCTAGTTCTATGAGCTCTATTAACTATTCCCTCTGATCCATATTATAAGACTTTTGGGTTTGTCCCAAGTCAAACTACTTTAAGTTTGACTAAACTTTTATAAAAACATAGCAACATTTATAACACCAAATTAGTTTAATTAAATCCACTATTGAATTGTAGTATATTTGATTTGTGTTGGAAATGCTGCTATACTTTTCTATGAAGTTGGTAAAACTTAAAGAAGTTTGTCTTAGGACAAACCCAAAACATCTTATAATATGGAATGGAGGGAGTAGATTTTTCTAAGGAATCATACGGATCTGGGTAACAAAAATGGATTCGGGAAACAACTCTTGTTTAATGTTAACTGTAAAAATATGCATGTTTTATAGAGGAATCTTTTCACATATGAGTGGGTTTTAACCTTAGAAACTTCTTATTCCTTTTTTTTAAAGCTAGGGCATCAGGGCCCCCATTTCCATTACCAGAAATGAGATAGTGCTACAAGTTCTTGCTGAGTTACTTAAGCCTAGAAAACAAAAAGCGAAAGGAAGATAAAGAAGGAAAAACAAAAGGGTCTAGGGTTACAGTTTAAGATCTGAAGGATCTCCCGGCATGACAGCAAAATATTCAGCAAAACACACAACTATTCCTATTCAGCAGTGCACACCACAGGACCCATCTTTCACTTGATGTCTTTAGCCCTCTAGTCTTATGATCCCCGTCCCCCAACCGAATTTGGAGTTGAAAATGTCACTTGCCACTTGCCTTATTAATCTGGCCCCCAGCAGAAGTTTTTCTCGATTTGCCTCCAATGTCTGCAACACAGCCCAGGTTTAAATCCAGTGACAAGTCAGAAAAACTACCTCAGTAGGGTCTTTTGGGAGTTTATTCTCAAAACAAGCATTGCTCCTAAATTTCCAAATGGCCCAAATAACTGCAGCCACCCCTACAACCACTGAGTGTTTCATGTTCTTCTCAAAACCATTCAACCATTGCGGCATTGCCCAAACAGGTGTTGTATACTCACACCAAGTTTCAGATTGAGTGCATTAATTACTACATTCCAAATCAATTTGGCCATTGGACAGTTAAAGAACAAGTGTTGAATTGATTCTTCCTCATTACAAAACTGACAAAAGATCGAGTTACAAAATGTGATATTAGGCAAAAGGAGCACATAGAATTTACTCACTCTGTCCCACAAAGCTTCACCTTTTGCCTTCTTCATTTGCCCCACAAAGACTTCATCTTTGAAGCAGTCAGTGCATTTTGGAGTTTGAGAAAAAAAGAGGGACATATGCATTGAAGTTTGACAAAGTGCGGAACGAATACATTAGAGTTCTGAGAAAGTGAAGGGTATTATGGTCTTTTTGGTTTTATATTGGTATGTGTGAGATAGGCTAAAAATGAATTCTTTTTGGGACGGAGGTAGTACTGCTTAGTATGTTTTTATCAGTTAGGTTAGACTTCTGCTGCTCTTATGTTATATATATTTATTGTTGATGCAACAGCATATATGATAGCTTCAAATGTTTCTCTTGGCAGGTATGATTGTTACCTCTGCATTGATCATATGGAAGGGTTTAATAGTTGTAACAGGTAGTGAATCTCCAGTGGTGGTGGTTCTTTCTGGTAGCATGGAACCTGGATTTAAAAGAGTAAGTTGCTTCCTTAGACAATATAAGAGCCATATTATACTTATATTTGTGCATTCGCAATCTTTGGTCTTTACATACGGGGATTTACAGTAATATTTGTTTTTTGTGCATACGCTGAATTTCTCAGTTATAAGGGACAAATCTAAATTTCAGAAGTTCCATCTGCAACAAATAAAAAAGGGAATTTCCTTTTTTTAATAAGATAGGACGATATATGGTTTCCTGTAATTTATATTGGTTTGCAAATGGTGAACAAATGCCTTGTTGCCTTATTTTACATTCCTTAAAACTTCGGGTTCATTCATTTCCCAAAATTTTCTTTAAACAGCAATTTATTCCCATCTGTGTTCAACTTTCACCAAGAAGTCACTTTTTACCCTTTAATGCACTGTATGCATTTAGCATTGTTCATGAATGAATTGTTATCTGCTTTCAGGGTGACATCCTGTTTTTGCACATGAGCAAAGACCCTATCCGCACTGGAGAAATAGTTGTTTTTAATGTTGATGTAAGTCTTACTGAAACATTGTACATTGTACATCATGAATTTACTGTATTTCTATATCTCATTGTATTGTATTTGGCTGTTTTCTGCTTTCTATGTAGGGCCGTGAAATTCCAATTGTTCACCGTGTGATCAAGGTAATAAATTTCAAGTCATTATATTATCCCATTTGTTTCAGATGTCTTTTATGATCTTTCCCCTATACAATGGAGCTTATCATTCTCTTGGTATAGGTTCATGAACGCCAGGAGAGTGCAGAAGTTGACATCCTCACAAAAGGTATCCATCATTTTCTATTTGAACACCATAAGTTTCTCACCAGTGGTTATAGTGGTGACTGGTAAAGCATTGGCAGTAGTAATCACCTGCTAACAATGTATAACATACCGTGGATACAGCAATGTTTGTTTGTAACTGATGAGCTGCCTTTCAGGTGATAACAATTTTGGGGATGACCGACTTCTGTATGCACATGGGCAGCTTTGGCTTCAGCAACATCATATTATGGGGCGAGCTGTTGGGTGAGTGTCCTCGACTTTGACAACACTTATGTGCCTTCACACTTAATGAAATATATTTTGCCTGATCTTATGTTTTGTTATGCGAGAACAGTTTTCTGCCATATGTTGGATGGGTTACAATTATCATGACTGAGAAGCCAATTATTAAGGTATGCTCATCCTTTCTCAGTATACTGATTGACCTTGAGATTAAACAATGAATGCCTGTTCATAGGCGACAATTTGTTCCGTCATATAACTCTTCGCTCCTTCTCTCTATCAATGATAGCACAAAAATTAAGCAGTACCATTGCAGCTCGATAGGTCTCTTAAAACTTGGGAAGCATTTCTGACTGACTGATATACGATTTCTCTTGCTGCAGTACCTTCTGATCGGCGCGCTGGGCCTACTGGTTATAACATCAAAGGAGTAATAAAGATGCGGCTTTTCAGTAGAGTAGTGGCCTCTCTAGTCGCATGGAAGAAGCTGGTATTTGTTTCACCATGTTTCCAATGGAAGATGCGAGGGGTTTATTTTTAGGATAACTGTGCGACAATTGGCATTGTATTTTCCAGCGGTTTATCATGTGGCATCCATCTTTCAGTGGTTTACAGTTAATTGCGCAAGAAAATTTAACGTGACTTTTGGTTCGGCAACTGGTTATTGGATGCTGACTTTGATACAATATAAGATGAATTCATAAAGCAATCCTTTGAGGCAAGTAGAATCGAACCTGGCTAAGCCTTTTTCCATGGATTTGTTGGAGTCTTGACTCTTGAGTGCTAAATCCCTTTCTTGGTTACCAACTGCTATTCAGCGGCAGTTCTTTTCACTATTGTATCTGTCTTCTCAATCCAAACTATGCTGAAGTCTGATCACTGAATAGCAGCGCGGCTGTGATGGTTCATTGAATACTTTGTTGAATGCTAGTAGCTCATGTGCCATAAAGCCCTAACAGAATACTGGTGAGATCTCAACATGCACATATATGCTTGTACTTGTGTGAGATTGAGGCAAATATTTCTGTGTATAGTAAGTATATGTGAAAAGGAGAACTCGAGCCATATTATAGATCTCCAGCCCATTAAATCGTATCCAGAATATTGATATGGTGTTGTCTTTTTGGATAAAAGAAGTTCGTTTGGACGTGGTCTCTTTTGACAAATTTGTTTACTTCTGATGAGTGAAATGGTTTACATTTTGACTGTTGTCTGGGTGAGCTTAAAGCGTAAGAATGATTTGACCGGCTGGCTTTAAACCATGGCCTTTCACTTCTTGTTCTTGGTCCGCAGTTCTTGAGTGACTTTGAATGTCAAAATTTCAGGTTGTCGTTCAAACAATGCGATGCTTTTGGCGTCAAAACAACCAACTGAGACGCCAACTGAGCTTAGAGTCTTGTGATAAAACTCCAGATTTAAGATCTAGACTCGGCAAGAAACTTGTATTTACCTTGAGATTTAACATGAGGACGTATTTAGTGGTCAAAGTGTGCAGTGTGCTAGTGCTATATGGGGTTGAGCCTTTAATTTTTTTTTGAAGGGATGGCAAAAGCTTTACGTCTTTGCCTCGTATATCGATAGAGTAGAAGAAAATTATAAAAAGTTATGTATAGGGTCTGTCAAGACGACATACCTGGAAAAAGAGAATTCTTAGAAGATATCTCCCAAAATTCCGAACTCTTAGAGTCTAGATGCTCTTGCTTCCTCCTTGATCTTGGCTAGGATTGAGGTTGACGTTGATGCTTTGTGGCATAATATTCTTGCATTACGTTCGCACCACACTTCCGAAGATACCAGAATCACCAGAGTTCTAAGTGGTTGGTGAGGGTTATTGGGGGACTCGAGCACAAGATTCCACTATTGTTTGACTGAGTGACAATCATTCCACTTGTTCATTGTAGGTACGTGCTAGTCCATCTCTGGATCTCTGCCCATATTCTCTTTGTGGCCCTACATTTTGCTGGTAGGTGAACTGCATATTTGTCGACAGTACAACACAATGGGTAGATCTTTTGATTTTTCCACCCTCTTCGCTCCAACCCGTCCGCTGTCCACACTCTATTTTGGACAATGAGCTAGGAGAAGAACTTGCACTTCGAAGGGGCCCATGATTTCTAGATCGATTGGTTGAAAGCAGTTCTCGTGGCCCCGAGGAACCGAAGTCTGTAAGCCAAATTTGCCGAAATTTGACGAGTATTGTCTATTTGCCGTGAGGTTCCACCGAATGCCATTCCGTTCGTAATTTAGAGGGGTCATTATCCTGACGCTAGATCAAAGTCGCACGAATTGTTGCAAATGTTCCTTCTCTGTGAATCACAGGATGTCAATGTCTCGAATCCAATTGCTTTCTTTTTTTTTTTTGAGGCTGCGAAAATAGCAGGTGCAATCCTCCGTGGGGTTTGATTTTCTAGCCACTTCGAGCTCTAAAAGCACACTGTTTGCCATCCCCAACTGTTATGGTTGCTGTTGCCGCAAATAGTTCCTCGTCGAGATGATTGCACGGGACCGCAGTCCCTGCCCATGGCTTCTCAGGTGCCACCCACTCTTTCCAATCTAAGCCATTGTGCCGAAGCAAAACGATCATAAACTGAAAAAAATCTATACTCAGATCAATATATCTAAGCATCTGATTCCGCAACTCAACGAGGCAAAGACAAAAAAAAAAAAAAAAAAAAAAGCAAATCCAAGGGAAATTTTCATCTACATTGCTCCATATTTGTCTGTGCTTTGCTGAGTGTCACGTCAGGTAGCGTTGTCATGAGGATGCGATTATCTGAAGCAGCAGGTCGTTCCACACGTCGATCGCTCCGGGCAAGCACCAGTGCAGGCAGTCGATCTCGAATCCGTCGTGCTCGCCGCCGCCATGCCCGTGCCGGTCCGGGTGCCCGTCCGGCCGGAGCAGCATCATCCGCGTCACGTCCATCAGCCTCAGCCGCGCCCGCTTGCCGCCGTTCCTCGCCGCCGCCGCCGCCGCCGCCGCGGCGAACTCCTCGACCTGCGCCCGGTAGAACTCCGCCTCCGTCGCCGCCATCTCCGGCGCCGCCCCGTCCTCGCTCTCGCTGGCCGGCCGCGTCGCGGTGCACTCCCCGCCGTCGAACCACCCGCCGTTCTCGTAGTGCGTCGGCGCCACCGTGCGCAGGATCGCCGTGCCGTTGAACCCGTCCAGCCGCGCCAGCGCCCCGAGCACGGCGCGGAACGCCGCCCGCTGCGCGTGCTCTGGCTGCTTGACAATGGCCGTGGCGGTGGCGTTGCTGTCGCCGCAGTCGTGGCAGCCGACGACGCGGCCGTGCTGGTAGTACACGGCGGGGCGCGCGAACCAGTGCGACGCGGAGAGGACGACGTAGTCGTGGCTCTTGGCGGCGGACGTCCACCGCTCGTCGGGCTCGTCGAGGTGGAGGTCGCTCGGGCCGGCGAACACCTCGCCCTGCCGTTCCGGACCGACCGCCTCCGGCGGGCCGCGCGTCAGGCGCCACCGGACCTGGAACGGCGTCCAGAAGTAGGCGACGGCGAAGCCGTGCGCCGGGAAGCGCCAGTGCTCGAACCCCGCCGCCGCGTCGCGCGACCTCGCCGGCGCCTCCACCTGCGACAGCGCGCACACGAGGGACGTCACGTGGCTGCTCGCCAGCGAGTCGCCGACGAACAGCATCGACCTCCCGCGCACGAGCCGGAAGAACCGCGCCGCGTCGAACGGCCCGAGCGGCTCGCACCCCTCGCCGCCGTCACCGGGACGCCACCGCCACCGCAAGAACTCCATGCTGGGCCTCCCGTGCTTCATGCAGTTCTGGTAGTTCTGGATGAACCCGCACGTCGCGTTGGTGTAGTACGGCGCCGCGCCGGCGTCGCGCATCCACTCGCCCCGCCCCCGCGCCAGCGCGGCGTCGCAGGCAGCCGCACCGCCATCATCGGCGGCGCCAGGCCAACGGAAGGAGCCGAGGGAGAAGACCGAGAAGGTGGCGGCGGCGAAGAAGAAGAGGAGCGCGACGAGAGCCGGGACGGACGTGGTGGCCTTGGCGGCAACGGCGTGGCGGGTCCGGCGAGCCCCGGCGAGGAGGCCGCGGATGGAGAGGCGCTTCATGACGGTTACCGACGAGGCCTCGCCGGTGGCGTCGCCATGTCGCCGTGTAAGTAGTGGGAGGTCGCCGATCGATCGAGCTCCACTGACACAGATGTGAAAGTCAACGGCGGGGGAAAGTGGAGGAGACGTGGTTGATGGATCCGGACGTGGCGAGCATGTGAGCGCGCGTGCGTACATTCTCTCGAAGTGCCCCGGTCAATCCAACATTTTTTGTACAAGTATACGGGGCTATCTCGTGCATACGCACCAGCAACTGAGATGGCGCCCCCACCCGGCAGACAAGTTTTCTTCTCTTTTTTTTTTTACGATTTTTCTCCTATTTTGGCACCCCCTTCCGTCGGAGCGTTTTTTTCTGTTTTTTTTTTAATCTTCAGCGTACGTGTTTTTTAAGGAGGTGTTTGGTTGCCCACCACACATTGCCACAATTTCTTTGGAAAGTGTTTGGTTGACTACTAAAGCTATGCTCGTCACAAGCCAAACCTCCTCCCACCACAATATTTTCCAGCAGAAGTGTGGCGGGCTTTTTCCCCACCACAACCATCCGTAGCGCGCCATATCGGCGAAAAAAATCACCAACTACCGCGATAAATTCACCCCCTTGCCTTGTTCAACACAACAAACCCTATCTTACCACATCTCTCTCCTTCCGCCATGCTCCATGGCTGCCATTCCACACCGCCGTGCTCGTTGAGCTCACGGGCAGAGGTACTGCCTTCTCCCAAAGGCAGTCTTCCTTTGGCCTTCTGCCTTCCGATCTCCTGTCACCACCAATAGATGGCACCTGTTGATCTCTGGTTTTCGTTGTATGTGTGTGCATATCTGAGTAGTTTCTAAGCCCTATAGAAGCAACGGAGGCAGTGGAGGCAAAGGGACACCAGGTACATCTAAATTGGTAACTCCTATTTCCAATAAACTATAGGTGTCATGTTCATTTATCATTTTTTAAAATAATTCTCTATTTTCATAGGGATGCATAGGAGCACTATAGTACTGTACTATTCTCACCACTATAGTATTGAGGTATTTCTATCATTCTGTAAGAGGAATCCAAACAGCTACCACAACTTCTTGCCATACATTCGTGGCAACGATCCAAAACAACAGCCACATTGATTTTGCCACACCTTAGTCATAAATCAAACAGTCTAATTTTGCCACAAACTCTGGCTAGCCTTGTACTTAAGCTTAAGCATGGCAATGTGTGGCCTAGAACCAAACACACCCTAAATCTTTAAGTTGAAAGTTTTCAAATCTTGACTTAAAAATCTTCTAATTTAAATTGGAAGTTTCAAATATGGAGTTGAAAGTTTTTAAATTTTGAGTTGAAAGTTTTAAAATTTGAGTTTAAAGTTTTCAAATATCAGTTAAACTTTTTCAAAATTGAGATGAAAAGTTTTGAAAATTTGACTTAAAAATTTAAATTTCGAGTTGAGAGTTACAAAATTTGACCTCGAAGTTTAAATATTGAGTTGAAAGTTTTCAAAGTTTAACATGAAAGTTCATAATTTGACTTGAAAATTTTCAAAATTTGGGTTTATAGTTTGAAATTTTAAGTTGAATGTTTTAAATTTTTTGTATGACTTTTAGTTTTTAATAAAAAGTTTTAGATTTTATTTGAATGTTTCTTTCACGTATAGATTTCTTTCAATCTGTTACTCCTAGTAAAAAAAACCTTCAAAGAAAGAAAATATTACCTTAATTATCGTTATATCCAAAACTAATATGATTAGTTACGATAAGATTTAGCGCCTCCGGGAAAAGATAAGGTTGTTGCCGACTGAAAAAAGAAAAGTCAAAAACAAAATGTGTGGCTATGCTGGTCCTTATGAGCCTGAAACGCACGTCACCAATTAGCTTTGTCGCAAGTATACTCCTACTGACCCTCTAAAAAAAGTATACTCCTATTGATAGTTCATAAGGACTCAGGACACTGACTCCATCATTTCGGAGTTTACTCTCCCTATCCCATAAAAAAATATTCCTACTATGTCAGATGAAATTAGTGAAGAATAAAAATAAACAAAATACATCTTATTATTGAGAAAAGTAATAATAGTGATATGTAGGTAAAGGATATTGAATGGAGAAAACTTCTCGTTTTATGTACTAAGGATAAGTATAATGGCAAAAGTTGGTTTTTTATGTGACAAGATTTAAACTTTAGAAGTTGAGTTTTTTTTAAAAAAAAATTGGAACGGAGGTAGTATAGATTTTGATTTGGAAAGATCAAACTGGATATGGCTTTTCTGACGTTAGGAACTTTAGGAAAATTGGAGGATTCAGTTCCTATAGGATTTAAGTACTATTCACTCATTCAGTTTGGAGGAATCGGGTATGAAAATATTGGAGGATTTTTTTCCCTTCACCTATGATTTTATATGAATTCCATAGGAAACTGAACATTCACGATGACCTCTTTTTCATTTTCCTTTGAGAACTTCAAGACAAATCAATGCATATGACCTCAAAATGAGCCTATTCCAACACTTGTCAAGCGAAAAAAAAGAGTTACATATCATAATCTTGATACAATGGTTGTGCAACTTTTTGTCAACTTTGGATGGAAGTTTATAAATATGGATTCAATAATTGAACACTCTTTATATTGTGTTGACAGGTTTTTATTTTTAAGTTTGTTTGTGCTTTAATGGCTACATTAGCCTTTATAAGTTTCATTGGTCTGCATTCGTGTTGAGTGTTTCATTGTAATAATTGGCTGTAAATCTCGGAGTAAAGGCCGGGATGGTTTTATTCTATTCTATTATTAAAGAAAAACTATTTGTTATACTCAAATAGCGAAAGTCTTATGTTTTGCTCTACTCCTGTGTTCTGAACAATGTGTGTGCATTTTTTCTATGTTTTTTAATTCTATGTTTTTCATATACAATTCTATCCGATTTATGCATTTTTTTTCTATTTTTATGATTTTGTATTCCTACATTACAAATAAGCCCCTAAACCGGAACTAGGATCCATCATCCAATCCTTGCGTCTCCGTGGGTCGCGGCGCGCGAGAGCACCCCGCGCCGTGCCAGTCCAACTAAAGCGCCCGACACGTCCACGAGGAAGTCGGGGAAGTACTCCGCGTTTCACGGCTAGCCGAGGCCACTGGGCAAGTGGGCACGAAGTCTAAGGCCCCAAAGCCAGTGATTGTTGGACGTGACAAGGAAGTAAACAGGTTTTTGGTGCACTGTTTCTCTGTTCCTACAGAAAAAAAGATGATTCTGGTAGAGAGGTAGTAGTATTACTCCATCCATCCTAGTACTTAAGTACAACCATGAGTTTTATGTTGAATTTTAATCGTCTATTATATTTAAAAAATATTTAAAAAATAAGTTATGTATAAAGTACTATTCACGTTTTACCATCTAATAACAACAAAAAATGCTAATCATAAAAATTTTTAAATAAGACGGATGATCAAAGTTAGACATGTAAACTTATGACTGCTTTTAAAATGGAGCTCATGGTTGTTCGCACGCCATGGGGAGTTGTGTTGCTATTCAGGTTGGTTCGCAGTTCGTACACCAGGCCAGGCCTACTGGACTATCATTGGGAGGTGCTCGATGAGGGCGTTCATAGTGCAGTGAGGTGGCATTCTGTTCTAACCATCCACGTCAGATATTCCTCCCTAGATGCATGCGTAGCGTTCCCAATCCAAGCCCGTGGAGCCAAATTAAGTCACCCGTTCTTCGTCAGAACTTGTAGGCAGGCCATGGCCCCATGCGACGCCCCCGCATCCCGTATGAGGCGGCGGCAGTTGCCGGCGAGGCCACCACGTTGTCCTCTGTTGGCGAAAAAATCGAACACACCGGCCTGGGAGATCTGCTTAGCTCCAGTGCAGGTCCAAATCTTGATGAGATGCGGGCGTGCCAGTCAGTTTGATCCTACAACTGACAATATATGCAAATAGTAGATCAAAACAGCCGATCGGCTGACAAGCCGATGGAGTAGTTCCAGCCGATAGCCGATAATAGCCAATGCCGATACCAGCCGATAGCGATAGGGTTTAAGCAATCCTATATGTCCAATGTAGATAATGATATAGTGGCAATCAGCTAATGATTATATAATAAAATAACAATATAATCCAATATATACCAATCGGCTAGCAATGATATGATAAATAAGCATCGATCCGAAGGTTAAAGCACACATCGGCTGGAGGTCCGATGTCATGAAATCCTCAAGATTAGATAGATCAATGAAACCTTTATTGTCATCGGCTAAATCCAACTCATATGTATATGCAATCCTTATGAGCCGATGCAATATTCAGATAACTCACCGGTTGAAACCCCGATGAAACCCTTATTGGCAATCAAAAAGTAGGCTAGAGATTATGGTTCTAAGCACAACTTAGTAGATCAAACTTAACTGATGCAGTACTAAGTATGAAAAGAAACACAATATCTAGACAATCAAGCCGTTGACTGAGTTTTCAGGGTGGTAGATGTCTAAGCTAATCTAATCTAGCAACGCGATTTAGCCGATACCGGTAGAAACCCTAAAACGAGAAGCAGCCGATAGAGCTAAATTGATATGCTAAGACTAGATTAACAGAGACATATGATAAATAGGTAGGCAAATATATCATCCAAACCAGAGCAATCCAAGAGGTCGAATGTACTGATGCAGCCTTGAACGACGCCGATGTAAACGATACAATTGCTTGGGCCGGCGGAACATTGGACTTTCCCCTTAGCCAGAGATCGAACACCGATGTAGCCCCGCGTCAGGTGCTAAGTCCCGCCGGACGATAAAATAAAAGTAGAAGTAAAAAGGGTGGCGATGCGCCGAATTATATTGATCGTAGTGATAGATTACATAGACCCCGGGTGTACATATTTATACCCATGGGTTGATACAAGTCTTTGTCGGACAAGAAAGAAACTTTCCTAAAGATAAAAGGAAAAGATAAAGTCCTTATAGGCCACCAAACACACTTTCCTAAAGATAAAAGGAAACTAACAAACTATTCCTAATTAATATATAACTTGCCATGCCGTATTTTCTTTGAACTCGGTCTCTTCTGAATAAGCTTCCTTTGATAGATCAATTTCCTTAACCGAATATAGCAAGAATCCGACGACTGACGACTTGACAACTCTCATCAGCTAATCTCAGGACTTCAAAGCCGATGCTGACTCTAAGCCGATGACTACTCCAGGCTTGCCAAAATTCACTGTTAACATCCTCAAAGCGGTGCCGTGTCGGATTTGGTGAGCTCGACGGGGTGGTGACGGCACTAGCCAAGGGGGGAGGGGGGGGGGGGGAAGGAAGATGGCGGCGGCGATGGCCTGGGAGGAAAGGGAAGATGGCGGCGACAATCTAGGAGAAGGGAATATGGTGACTGCGGCGGAAGTGAGCTTGGGCCAAAATGTGTGACGCACTGCTGCTGCCCTGGTACTCCAGGTGATACTAGTCAGCGCTGGCATATGACAAAACTGGTGCCATCCATTCAGTTGGCATCCACTGCAAACCGGACGCGCGCCGGCGCACGCCATCCATCCATGCGTGCGTGCATTCCGTTCGTTGCTCATCCTCTCCCGTCCTGTTCCGCCTTTGCACGATACGACGGAACTGCCGGGTTTCACTCGTCGGTAGCCATCCGATCGTACCGTGCATTCCTTTCCGAGAAACAACATTTCCAGAAAAAAAGACCCACCCCATCCTAGAAAAAGAGTTGCTCCCACTCAAAACTCACGGATAGAAAAAAGCAAGTACAAGTACTAAATTCCTAGTGCACCGGCAGGGCACTTGTCTGTGAATATTGGAGGGTACTTCTATGTCATAGTTAAACACCATATATAGAATTTGAGGGGTTAAATAAACTTATTTCTATATGAAAATTTTGAGAGAGAAAAATTACAAAGATGAACCAGAAAACTCTTCACGATTGATGACGCAGCAGCATCTGGAGCAGCATCTCGTTCCACACATCGACGGGTCCAGGGAGGCACCAGTGCACGCAGTCGTTGTACAGCGTCACGTTCTCGTGCGCCCAGTGCCCGTACCGGCTCGGGTGCCCGTCCGCCCGCGCCACCATCGCCGCCGTCGCGTCCATCAGCAGCATCCTCACCGCGCTCCCGCTCGCCGCCGCCGCCGCCTCCGCCCTCCTGAACTCCTCCACCTGCGCCGCGTGGAAGTCCACGTCCAGCCCGGACATCCGCGCCTCGCTCGCCGCGGTCGGCCGCGTGCGCCGGCAGTCGCCGCCCTTGTCCCACTCGCCGCCCTCGAAGTGCGACGTCGGCGACAGCGTGCGCACGATCACCGTGCCGTTGAACACGCTTGCGGCGGTGAGCGCGCGCAGCGCGGTGCGGAACGCCAGGGGCAGGGAGTAGCGGAGGGTGAGGTCGGGGACGCCCGGGAGGCGGCAGCTGTAGCAGCCGACGAGGCGGCCGCGCTCGTAGAACATGGTCGGGCGGTTGAACCAGATCCCCGTGGAGACGACGACGTAGTCGAAGCCCGCCACGGCGGTCGCCCAGGCGGCGTCCGGCTCGTCGAGGTAGAGGTCCCACATCCCGCCGGCGGGGTCCGACTGGTTCGCCGTCACGAGGTACGGCGACCGGAAGACGGCGACGGTGAAGTTGTGGGACTCGTACCGCACCGCCCTGAACTCTGGATCCGCCGTCTTGGGGACTTCTCTCGGATTCTCCACCTTCAAAAGAAGAAAAAAAACAAATGACATTTCGACGCGAATTTATCCTGAAATGTGCGAAAATGTTTTTGTTGTTACCTTGGAGAGGAGGCACAGGAGAGACTGCATATGGTTCCTGGAGAGCGAGTCGCCGACGAACGCCATGGACTTGCCCCTGAGGAGGTCCAGGAACGCCGCCGCGTCGAACCGCGGGAGCTCGCAGCGCTCCGGGCGCCACCGCCACCGGAGGAAGCCGAGGTCGGGGCGGCCGTACTTCATGCAGTTCTGGTGCTCCTGGATCTCCCCGCAGGTGGCGTTCGTGTAGTACGGCGCCGCGCCGTCGTCGGCGGCGGTGGCGGGCACCCACTCGCCGCGGAAGATGTCGCAGTCCGCCGGCGCGGCGCGCCGGGCGGCCCTCGGCAGCGACGCGATGCTGGGCTCGAACCTCCGGAGGAACGAAGGGCGGCTTGCCGACGCCGTGAGCAGCACGACGACGGCGAGCGCCGTGAGCGACGCCGCTGCCGTGGGGTTGACGCGCTGAAGCAGCTTCATCGGCGACAACCAGCAATGTGCAAGCAAGCAAGCAGCTCAGAGCAGCTCCAGCAGCAGAGACGCCGCTCCGCCGCCGCCGACGCTCGCGCCGCCGGCCGCGGGAGAGAGAAGGGGATCGGGGGATTTTCTTTCTTTGTTTTTTTTTTGGGGTTTGTTTCGACCGACGCAGTTGAATTTAAAGGGGACAGAGGCGAGCAGAATCAGTTTGTCAATTGTTAAATGTATCAGATTCTGCTCATTCGAAAACATTTGATTTATATAATATATGGTCATTTTCATAGCAGGTTTGGTAAGAATTTTAATCTCACTACATAACATACAATATAAGGCCCTCTGAATCGCATGATTAAAAAAAATATAGAAATAGGAAAAACGTAAGATTTTGATAGGAATTTAGGTGTAAAACAGAGGATTGTAAAACGCAGGAAAACACGGGAATGACCGTTTGATTGAACTGCAGGAAAAACGTAGGAATTGGATGAGAGAGATAGACTCAAAGGAAATTTATCAAGAGGTTGAAGCTCTTACTAAATTTCCTTCAAAATCTCTATAGGATTGTCCATTCCATAGAAATTTCAAAGTATTGGATAGGATTCAATCCTATATTTCAAAGGGCCTTACAAGAAATTTTCCTATAGGATTGAAATCCTCCAAAATTACTATATTTTTTTCCTCCAATTCAAAGGGGCTCTAAATAAGGCTGTATTTAGTTTACACTAAAATTGGAAGTTTAATTAAAATTGGAACAATGTAACGGAAAAGTTAGAAGTTTGTGTGTGTAGAAAAGTTTTGATGTGATGGAGAAATTGGAAGTTTGAAGAATTATTTTGAAATAAACACGGCGTAAGTCAATGACATATCAAGAGATTTATTTAACAAAAAATGGACTTCAATGAAACGTGAGATATAAATGGGCTTGTTCGGATGCAAGTAACAGCCGGTTGACTATATGTCAGCGTTGTACTAGGCAGCGGAACGAAGCCATTGAAAAGAACAATGAAATAAAACTTTGTATCAGCGGAATAAAATTTCCCATTAAAAATGCGCTAAATGTTACAATCAAAAATAATAATGAGCAGATAAAATTTAAGAGATATAGAAAGATATAACTTATTTAATACTTCTTCATTTATGGGCCAACAATAAATAAGGACAGTCCAAACCCTCCACCTCAACTAATTTCCATAGCATTAATTATACTGTCACATAAAAAAGCTGAGGTGGAAAAGAGTTTTTAATGAGAAGAGAGAACATTTCTCATGGAAAAAATAGCTCTACACATAAACCAAGAACAAGAATAAAAATAAGAGAATAGCTGGATGAAAGAAGAGTGAATAGAGATAATTGAATGAAAATTTATTATGAAGAAACCACCCATTAGATATATAGTTATCTGACATGATGTCTATATATATATATACATGTTGAGCATGGAAACTATTTGATACTCCATCCGTCCCATTTTAAGTATGGTTGTGGGGTTTCTATGTCCAACGTTTGTACATCCGTTTTATTTGAAAAATTTACAAAAAATAAAAAGAAGTCACGCATGAAGTAATATTCATGTTTGTCGGTGATATGGGACCGGGAGTATCATGACTAGAGGCTTGAGGCAGACACAATCGCCCACGTGGCCTGGCACCTTCGGGGACGTCGGGCCCGAGGGTGAGGTGTCCGCCCTCCTCCTGATTTCCCCCGAGGGGGGGGTCGGGTTGCGCTTGCCCTGGCCCCGAGGGCCGGGGCACCCCGACCCCCTTTAGGAAGTCTGCGCCACGTATATGGGATAAGTGAGCACAGCTGTGCTCACCTAACAGCATTTATTGCAGTCTGGTCAAGCGTGTCACGCTGCATGCAGTGCAGCACGGCGCGTCCCTTTATCCGGTCTGTGACCAGTCACAGACCGGTCAGATCACGGGTTAGGTGGCGACTGGCGGTCTGACGCACGCCATGCCCCATCCCGTCAAGACGAAAGCCTCTAGTCACTCGTCTCAAGCCGGCGTTAAGCGTGTTATCTCTTAGAGATGACACGTTAGACCCGGTCGATATATGCCAGGCTTCATCTTAACCATTACAGGCAAGATGTTGTGTGAAGAAGGGCAAACATGCACGTTGCCAAGATTACACGCGGTGGACAAGAATGACCGATTTGTGACCGGTCTGACACTGACCATATCGTCAGCGCACAGCCATGTTCCCACGACGCGCTCACCCCCGGCGGAAGTGGAGGTAGGTGTGGGCTGTCCCATCGGAGCGTCATTCGGACAGCAACCGTGCTGATCTCCGCCCATTCAAGAGAAAAAGAACAGTCCAGTTTGGAAAGAGAAGGGTGCATGTGGTATCCCCTTGAAGTATAAAAGGAGGACCTTGCCCATAGAGAGGGGAGTTGATTCTTTCCCAGATAATGAGCTTAGAACGGGGGAGAAGTCAGCTCACACTTGTAGCTCATTCATACGCAGATCCACCAAAACACAGGAGTAGGGTATTACGCTTCTCAGCGGCCCGAACCTGTATAGATCGTCGGTGTCTCGTGTTTTCTGGCTGGCATACGATTTTTCCACATACAGAGAGAGTGAGAGCTTGAGATTTCACCCTAAGCCCTCGGCCGAACTGGCAAAGGGGGGCCTGCGCGGTCTCCCGGTGAGGAGCCACGAGCTCCGTCATCTGGCGCGCCAGGTAGGGGGCTCAGCGTGTGCTTTCAGAGCTCTCAGACTCTTCCGTGTGCCCCAAGTTTTTCTTGTTCAGCCTAATGGCCGAGCAAGGAAAAACGCACGACCTCTCGCCGAGTGTGAGCGGCGACGACGGGGAGCCGAATCCACGCCGTCGAGCTCGTACTCCTCCACCTCCTCCGCGCCAAAGCCCTAAGCAGGGGGAGGCGCTTGAGAGGGTCGACAAGTCCGCAGCGTCACCGGCCGCAGGTGATGCAGGAGAACGGCGAGACGGGGAGCGTCGCCTCCTCGTCTACGGCGACGGCAGCACGCCTCAGGGTGCGCTTCAAGCTGCTGGCGCGCTCCTACGACACCCGCCTGTCGTCCATGACCCGGAGTCTCCAGCCCAACGATGGCTGGAAGACGTGGCCAACTTGGTCATGACGGCACAGCAGCGCCTGGGTGCTGGTGGACGGTCCGCCACCACCACCAAGACCTCCGGCGCCGCTACCACCGGCTCCGTGTCATCAAGGCGGAGGGCGCGGCGAGCGGCGGCGGCTGCACGTCATTCGGCTGCCACTCCCTCGTCTACACCGTCGACTCGGGAGGATCAGCATGGGGAGCCGGATGCCCGCCTCAACATCGGGCGCCGGTGTAATAGCCGGCGTACTCCCCGTGCAACGGAGGGAGCCTCCTCGTCCAGAGTGTCACTCCGACATGGACGTGAAGATCAGCCCTCCGTGCCCCCGGCCGGTGGTGTTGGCTGTAGAGCCTTTGTGGCGAGTCTTCGGAACGTCCGTTGGCCCCCAAGGTTCCGGCCCACCATCACCGAGAAGTACGATGGGAGCGTCAACCCCACCGAGTTTCTCCAGGTCTATACGACCGGGATTGAGGCCGCTGGGGGTGACGACAGGGTCATGGCAAACTTCTTTCCCATGGCCCTAAAAGGACAGGCGCGGGGTTGGCTAATGAACCTGCCACCCGCGTCGGTCCACTCCTGGGAAGATTTGTGCCAACAGTTCACCATGAACTTCCAAGGTACATATCCGCGCCCAGGCGAAGAAGCGGACTTGCATGCAGTACAGCGAGGCGATGATGAGTCGCTTCGCTCGTACATTCAGCGGTTTTGCCAAGTCCGCAATACTATACCATGCATCCCTGCACACGCGGTGATCTACGCGTTCAGGGGGGGCGTGCGGCACAACCGCATGCTCGAAAAGATCGCTTCCAAAGAGCCCCAGACTACCGCGGAGCTTTTTCAGCTCGCGGACCGAGTGGCTCGTAAGGAGGAAGCGTGGACCTGGAACTCCTCCGGTTCCGGAGTGGCAGCTTCGGCCGCCCCCGGATCCGCCGCTCAGACAGGGCGGCGTGATAGGAGGAGGAAGAAGAGGTCGGACCGTTCCGGCGACGAGGGTCATGTCCTCGCCGTCGAGGGCGCTCCGCGGGCCACCCGAAAGGGGAGGCCTGCGAGCGACAAAAAGAAAGAGGCCGGAACTCCCGGCAGGGAGCGCCCCGCCGGCAGGTGGTGCTCCGTCCACAACACCTCCCTCCACGATCTCGCGGACTGTCGTGCAGTCAAAAACCTGGCTGAGCGAACGAGGAAGTGGGAGGAGGACAGGAGGCAGGAACGCCGTGAGGGCAAGTCCCCGGTGGTTCCATCCGGCAAACGGCGAGGTGAGGCCAAGCAGAAGGCCCCCGCTGTTGACATCGATGATGGTGATGATGACCTAGGTTTCCAAGAACCTGGGGCCACCATTGCCACCGTCGATGGAGGAGCGTGTGCTCACGTCTCTCGCCGGAGCTTCAAGGCTATGAAACGAGAGCTTCTGGCCATGGCCCCTACCCATGAGGCGATGCGTCGGGCGCGGTGGTCGGAGGTCGCTCTCACTTTCGACCAGACTGACCACCCACCGTGCATTGCCCGGGGAGGGCAGGTTGCGATGGTGGTTTCCCCCACCATCTGCAACGTGAAGTTGGGACGTGTCCTCATAGATGGAGGAGCGGCTCTCAACATCCTTTCCCCCGCGGCCTTTGATGCTATCAAGGCCCCGGGGATGGTGCTCCAGCCGTCTCAACCGATCATCGGTGTGACGCCGGGGCACACGTGGCCATTAGGTCACATTGACCTACCGGTCACCTTCGGTGGACCCGCCAACTTCCGCACGGAGCGGGTGAGCTTCGATGTGGCGGACCTCAGTCTGCCCTACAACGCGGTCCTGGGGAGACCCGCGTTGGTGAAGTTCATGGCGGCGGTCCACTACGCCTACCTCCAGATGAAGATGCCGGGCCCCGGTGGCCCCATCTCTGTCCGTGGCGACCTTAAAGTCGCGCTTGCTTGCATTGAGCAGCGCGCGGACCGCCTCGCTGCTGCGTCCAAGCCCGAGGGTGGTGACGAGAGGCTTGGCCCTTCTGCCCCCACCGCCCCGAGGCAGCGGATGGCCACTTGCGACGAGGTCCCGGTCAAGGAGGTTGCCTTGGGCGACGGCCCATCCAAGACCACACGGATCGGTGGTTTCTGGATGGCAAATAGGAAGACGCGCTCGTCTCCTTCCTGCGGGCAAACGCTGACGTCTTCGCATGGAGACCAGCGGACATGCCCGGGGTCCCCAGGGAGGTGATTGAGCACCGT